GAAAAACTATGACATATGTACAAGATTTTCAGGTTTTTTAAATCACTGAAGTCAATGGTTAGGTTAATTTACATTAGCTGAAACTATGACATATATTTCCTATATTTAAGCAACATATCAGGCTAGAAAAAAATTTCACATACTCATAATGAGTAGGAATATAGGTTCCTTTTCAGCTTTTTAAGTCTTTTACATACTTAAGGTATTAAAGTGCTTTACTGGTTTCCAAATTTTAATTATCCCAATAATATTCTGCACATTGTGCGATAATGTTGCTTGCCTTCCTAATGCCCCAGATGTCATTCTCTTTAATGGAACTGCTCACCTAAGGAGAGGAAGGAGGATTTGGCTTTTTATAGGCAAGTTGTAAACACCTTCATTATATTGTGTGCATCTACATGTGGTGATTCAAGGTGCATTAGCCATTTTTAAAGCACATTAAGGGCACGGGTCTACACATGTGTGCCCTTAATGCACCTGAAAAATGGCAATTTTAGGCTAATTGTGCTTAAATTGAATGCTTACATAAAGCAAGTATCAAATTTAGGCACCTTAACCCATGCATAAACATCACACAGCACTTTAATGCTATGTGACTGAGCGGGTTGGAGCCAGGCCTGCGCCCCCACGCTGCCACTGGGTACCGCCAAGAAGAAGACATGGCAGGTATTGTTCTTCAAGGCGCAGACACTGGAGTGGCGATTCCAGCAGTAGCGGTCCCTGTCCGTGTGTGGTAAGTCGGCAGAAGGGGCAGGAGGCATGAGGGCTCCTGTCAAAGCACAAGGGACACGCCCCCTCTGTGATTCCCTGAGGGGCAAGTGGGCAGCACAGCATGGGCAGGGCCTTTGCTAGTGGCTCCTCCATGCCTCTCCCTCAGGGTGGATTTGCTGGCCAGGCAATGCAGCCCTGCAGAAGCAGAATGCCTCGCTGCCCACCTGGGACTCAGGTGCCCTTAGAAGCCCACGCTGGAGCTCTGGCCCAGGACAGCAAGCAAGCTGGCACTGCTTTCCCTTCTCCACCCACCTCCCTCCCAAGCAAGTACCTGGCCTTCATGCCAGACACTGTGCGTGGGAGAGGTGGCAACAAGTCCTGGGGGCTCTGCATGGTTCCGCTCAGGCAGGCTGGATGCAGTGCAGGTGAGGGCTCAGCCTTGGATAAGGCAGACCAAGGAGAGAGCCGAGTCTCTGCCCGTGTTGTGCCCAGCCTGCCAGGATGAGCCACGAAGAGCCCCCAGGAGCTGACACTGCCTCTCCCACATGCAGTGTCTGGCACAGAGGCCAGGCAGTTGCCTAGGATGAAGGTGGGTGGAGCAGGGAAAGCTGTGCCAGATGCTGGGGGCAGACACTCCCAGCTCACCTGCTGTCTAGGGCAGGTGCTCCAGTGTGGGCTTCGGAGGATGCCTGAATCCCAGGTGGGCAGTGAGGCATCCTGCCCCTGTAGGGCTGCATTGCCCACCCTGAGGGAAAGGCATGAGGGAGCCACTAGCAAAGGCCCTGCCCACACTGCGCTGACCCCTTGCCCTGAAGGGAGTTATGGGGCAGAGGCTTTCTCTTGTGCTTTGACAGGAGACCTCACACCTCCTGGTCCCTCTGCTGACTTAGTCCCAAGTCAGTCAGCACACCGACAGGTACCACTGCTGCCAGAACCACCGTTCCAGTGTCTGTGCCACCATGTCTTCTTCTTGGTGGTGCCTGGCAGCAGCATGGGGCCCCACAAGCTTGGCTCCAGCCCGCTCTTGTCCAACATTGGGGAGGCAGGAACATGGGGATAGGGTTAGAGCCGGGGCCAGACAGATTGTATCTGGATTGGTGGGAACTGGAGATTCCCACCCCCTTGGCCAGCACTGGGCTGCACCACCCATCTACACTGCCATCAGCTTCCAGGGGCTGTCGAGCGCGCTGACTAGGGCAAACTGCCAATGTGTTCACCTAGCAAGCCACGGTAAGGCACTTCAAGCTGTCCATGTGTAGACGTGTGCCTAAATCACCTTAATGTGCCTTAGGCTAAGGCACATTTAGTTTAGGTGTGCATAAAGTCAGATGTAGACATGCCCACCCAGTAGTTACTCACCCAGATAATCTGACTGGAGTCAAGAGTGGATTCAGTCTGCCCCTGCATGTTTTCATGAGGAAATACAAATCCAGCCATTCTTAACAATGCCAAAATAAGTAACTGAGTATTTATTTGCAATGGAAGGAGAAAAATAATTCTGAAGAAGCAGAATTCAGTTCCAAGAGGAACCATGAGGAGGAAAAAGTCCAAATAAAAACTGTCTTAGCAATGTCATTTTACCCATTATGTGTGCACTTGTTTCTTTTGCTTATTCAATGTGAAGATGAATTTCTACTGAATTTGACATGGTGCCATTTGACCTGATATGGATTTAAGCTCCCGGAAGCTCAAATCAGCAGGAGGTCACAGACAGGCAAATTCAGTGACTCTAACAATAATGCAGTATGAGAGATTAATGTTTATTTGGGTTCAGATTATTTCAAAACAAACAAGAATCAGGACAAATCAAACTTACGTTTCTCATCTGGTTGGTAAAATTGTTTTATTAAATGATACAATTTACAACTCAGGCATGCATTCTTCAAATAAAGTGTCCTTTGCAGTGAACAAATAGCATATGAAAATGAAAATCCAATTATAAGGATAGCATAGACTTTTCTTACTATGGAAAAAAAAAGTGTGAATAGGTAAGTAAATGTGTTAAAGCTAACCAACATGTAACTAATTATGAACAACAAATGTGAACATCTACCTTCTAGTATAACAGCAGAAACTAAGCTGTCAGTTATACTTGCTTGTCACATCCTCCATATATTAACACAGACATCTTTGAGGCTTAACGGTATGTTTAGAAGTAAATAACAGGTACTTAAATATTAGAGCTATTTTCCTCACATCAACTGTATAGGTCTGTGCACTCACAAATGACCAAATGTCAGAAATACTTGAATGAATATTCAGAACTTACACATAAAATGGCCATGTGGACTTGATGGAAAGATAATTTGCAAAGAAGTGGGGTGGGGAGAAAAATAGTGAAAAGTGCAGAGTGATGCCTCATAAAGCCCTGTGCGCATTATACTATTAGCTAGTACCTGGGGATGAAGTCAATGACAAAACCCCATTGACACAAAGGGAGAATAATGCCTGAACCTGTTTTCCCTCTAGGAAACTGAATTCCTATATATCAATACATGAGAATAATAAGTATAACTTTTATTTTAACTCCATGTATTTATAAATTGGTCTTCCTCCCCAGTATCATAATGTTTGTGACAAATCTTTGGGTTCCATTTAGGCAACGCTGGTTTACCATAACTTAAGGCAGCACAAGTGACACAGCCACCATAACACGCAGCTATCTGTCTACACTGTGTAATGTGTGGAAAGTCATACGACAGGCTTTACTCAGATTAAACTCCCCTTCGCTGATTACATTTGAAGTAATAAATTCAGTGAGAATTTTTCTGGGTTTTCTCAATCCATGCGAGTTAAACACATAAATTGGAGAAAGGTACCTGAGTACCTGGTCTAGTCCCACTAAAGTCAACAGGAGCCTTTCTTCTGACCTCAGTGGGAGTTGAATCGGTTCTCAAGTGTAAAAGTCCTGATCGATGGGATGTTCATGAAAAGCTGTATCTATACACAGAATGTACACAATAACCTACACAAGAGCATCCATCTGGAAATATCCAGGATCTCTCTGAAAATATATGTAGGTAACAATTATATGAAAGTATATCTATTTTACAGATAGATAGCTTGTTACACATTTTTTCACAGAGCTCCTAGGTATGTGATATGGAGACCATTATATTTTAATAGTTGATCCTATAAATGCTTAAGAACATAAGTAAATTTTCTTTTATGCTTTGTTTGTTTTTTTGGTAAAATTGGGTGGGCCATATTTAGTCTAATTTTGTGTCATAACATGTGAGTTTCTAATGTTTTAAAGTTCAGACACTTTGGCAATCTTTTAGTGGGTGTGTTTTAATGCTAACCACATATTTCCTGGTGTTATCCAAAGGCATTAAAATGCATAATATTATTTTCAAAGGAAATAAACAAAGTTATGCTCCTGATTCTAAGAAGTGAAACAATTTTTTATACAGTTGTATTTGGCAGAGATAATATTTACTGGGAACTGACTAATCCTGTTCCCAATTTAATGGATATCAAGGATAAAATTCAAAACAGAAACCTGGCCCTGGTCTTTTTATGCTAAGATAGACATTTAAGCGTGTGCAGCTCTATATCAGTAGCTCCACTGAAATGTATTAATCTGCGTTAAATGCATTCTTAAAAGCTTTGCTGAAATAGGTTAATAAACCCCAAGATCCAGAGAAGAATGTGTCAAATTGTGTATCAAATTATTCTCTCTGATATTGTGCATGGATGATCATAAGGATGGTTGTTTGAGGCAGCTTGGGCACCTCAATGTTGTATCATTACATTACCAAGTGCATGGAGCTCCTTCTTGGAACCCCCTCCCCGCCTCCCTCACTTTTCTTCATAAATTCATGAGAGTTTGTTGCTTAAGCAAAACAGTGTAAATAAGAAGTCAAGAAGAAAACAAGAAGGTTGCTTTGTAACATGATTGATGCACATGTTTTCTTCCTGTGAACACTTTTCCATGTTCTCTGCTTATATTTTAAGCAGAGCTATTCAATAGTGTTTCAACAATACTTTTAAATGGCCGTGCTTGACAGATATTTGAAGAATGCCAGGCACCTGAGGAAGGTGCGATGCTCTCAGTGAACCTGCAGGTTTATTTTCACACTTTAACAGCATCCAAACTACTCAACAAGCTTGGAGTACATACATACATACATACATACATACATACATATATATATATTCTATTAAAGTGAACTATAAATGCAAGGCAAGTACCAAGAATAGCACTTATTTACATTTCTTCAAACCCATCCAGATTTATTTAATATTGCAGCCAAATCACCAAATACTTGCTGTCTTTACTCAACTCAGACCCTATAACACGTAACATATACCATCTTCCACATGTCATCTTCTCTATAGGACACAAATTGCTGTTTGCTACATAACCTATTTCAGTCTTCAAAATGAGAGAACAAATCAAAAGCTTTCCACATATTCATCAACTCATATACTTAGAATAGCTACTCAGCTCTTTAGCATAACAGACTATGCTACACTAAATGTTCAGCAAATTATACATTTCACAAAGAAATGTCCTGTTCAGCTGTTTGTCAGCACATTTATTTGCAACCCAAATCTTTTTGAAGTCTCGCTGAAATGCCCAGTTTGAAGATATTAGCATACATCTAGATGTCACAGATCTTCAATTACCATGACTATAGATGCCTTTTAGATTGATCATAGTAAAGTAAAATAATTTATTTTGCTAGAGTCCTTTTTCTGAAGACAAAAACATTTTACAGGGAAATTAACTGGGCTACCATAACCATTAATCACTTCCAAATTCTGGAGTTATATTGGAAAAAATACTTTAAAAGTTAGATGTCGAATATATCGAGAACATCTATAAGTTGAATAAAAAATTCTGTTTTTAAAAAAGTGCCCTAATATTCTTTCATTAATTCATCTGTAAATATTTTTCTGTTCATTCCAACTAAACTTTTCCTGCCTGTGGTTTGTACTGAGTCATTTGCTTTCCCTCCTACACACAAAGGCGCACACATGAAAATTTGCCCTTTTCAAACAAAACAAAGCAAAACAAAATGTGGTACATCCTAATGCTGGGAATAAAACTGAAACTATTCTAGAAGCTGAGAGCCCTGAAGCAGCATGAGAACTATTCACCCTTTGAGATTGCCTCCTCATATCTTCAATTCAGAGATTGTTAAACCAGCAAAAAAACACCCAGAGAGGTTTGCTTTTCTTTTCGTACTGGAATCTAGGGCTTATGAATCTGGAAAAAGGGAGAATATATCAGGCTTTTCATGTTTGGTGCCTCCATCCTCTTGGATGTGTATTGTAGTGTGAGTTAGCTGTTGACAGGCCATAGTCAGACCTGGTGTCCATGGACATCATGTCGGGATCTATTTGGGATCGTTGGCCATAATATGCATACTGGAGCCTAGTGCCACGCTGGAAAGTGGAGCTAGGTGCAGACATGGTGCTTTTTGGTGGGGATATGATACCAGATTGCCTACTCCCAAATGAGGCTAAGCTAGCATGAATGCTTGGGGCTGGAGGCTCATAAGAAACTCTCTGTTTCCAATCATCTGGTGGCTCCGGGAGTGTTTTCCTGCGAGCAGCTGATACTACATTAGCAACAATGGACTCTTGAATGTTCTGGGGGCCAAAAGCATCATCTACCAAGCCAAGGGGGGACTTGGCTGCTGCTTCCCAGGGAGTTAATCTCTTGCCAGACCGGGCAGTTGCTCCAGGTGGTTTGCTGAAGTAATCTGGGGCAGGTTGGAAGATCACGGGAAAAGAAGGTGACATGGTTCGAGGCGTGAGCGAAGAAGGTCTCCCAGGAAGTGACAATGAACGGCCGCTGCTTCTCTCCTAGGAACAACAAAATCTTGACTATAACTACAGTCATTGAACAGCAGACATAAAACCCCTTTCCCTTTATTTCCAAACTGAAACTAGTCATCTTTTGGTTATTGGCATGCTGTTGGCATGCTAATGTATGACACAGGACAGGAACTTTTTCAATATGACAGCCTGACACCACATCCTTTATGAATCCTGAGTTTTTTTCCCTGGATGAATTTTCATGAGAAAAAACAAAGCAGAGAAGAGAGAAGAACAGAGACAGAGCGTACTCAAGTGTTTAGGAAAGGGAACAGGTTAACAGCCAGAAGTCCTTTGTTACTCAACAAGCACAGCATAAAGAGCAGTAGTACAGACATGCCACTATTGCTGTCTTGGTAATGTGTCTGATCCTGGAGGAAGCCTTCCCAGTGAGTGAAAATAAAGAAAGAAAGAAGTATGATCAGTCTGTGTGCTTTTACAGGACTTTCTCTAAGAAACAGGAACAAACGTAGTTATGTTTGGTAACTGACCCAATCCAAGAAAACTATCCAAGAACTTGTATTTGTTCATCTTTTATTAAGAATTACCTCTCTTCTAGTAAAACTATTGCTCCACTATTAATTATAATAGAAGGAAAGGGTACACAATTAATAAAAAGCACTACAAATGTCAATACAGTAATTTGCCTAATATTGTGATAGGCCGCTATTGAACCTGGCTTGTTTTAAAGGCAGTGCCCTCAAAATTTCAGAACACTCTGACCCATTTAGTAGGAGAAATCCATTCACATTTCACAAATCCTAATCTTCTTAGTAAGGCAGCACTTTGAAACAAAAACTCTGTTCATGAGGAAGGTTTTGTCCTTCGCAGCCTTCATTCGGCAAGATGCAGCACAAGTATGACCTTTCCCTATGTGTGCCAAATGTTCTCTATGCGTCAGACAAACCACATTGTTCTCAGTAAGCAGTCTCTGTCCATGTGGTTCTTAAATTAATTGCTAAACACCTGATTCATATCCGGAGGTCTGAGAACTGCTTTTATCTCCCAGATCCTTTATGAAATTAGAGATTAAGTGGCCAAGAGCTTTGCTAAGTCTCCACCCAAAAACATGGGCCTGAATTACCTTTCCTATTTAGCTTCCACAACTCAAAGACCACAGGGCTGATCAAAAACTCATCACCATTATTCAGAGTCAGAAAATATGCATTGCAGGGGTACTATTAATGCTTCCATTTGTGATTCAGTATTTGGACATCACATTTTTGCAGGCCCTATCACAAAAGGATCTGAGGCATTCAAAACCCTTTATTGAATTCTACCTGAGGCACTTTTTTATCTCTATTTTAGAGATGCAGAAATATGAGAAAAGAAAATGAGAGATGAATGGACAAGTTTTAAAAAAGTGATGAGCACCTGTGCCTCTCATTCATCTCAGTAGATTTGGCAGCTGCTCAGCATGAACATATTAACCCAGAGTCAAAGTAATACAGGCCATGCCTACACAATAAATTTACTGTGCTACATGGTGTTACCCTTAAGCTTACTGCACTAGAAGCAGTATGCCTGTGGCTAAGGAGCACTGCAAGCAGGTTAATTAGCATAGGTCAGTCTAAGTGGCTGTGCCGCCACTGCTGCTTAGCCAGCCACCCAGACCTGGCCTCACTGCTCTTGGTTTAGAAGGCAGCCTGCCTAGAGCAGTGCAGGTTGCTGTTGCCTTACATGGTAAGTTTACTTATTACATAAGTTTACTTACTTACTTTGAGACTTACATAAGTCTCAAAGTAAGATTTGACAGATCTCATGACCTGTTATTTTATAACGCAATAATCTTTGCTGTTTATTTTAGCTGATGACCAGCTCCTTCCAACACCAGAGAGAAACTCCAAATAGTTATTAGGCCTTCGCCTCCATTAGTATGTGGGTCACCAAATCAAATCACTTTCACCCGTACATCAGGACAAGGCTGAGTTCAGCACTCAGCGAAATATGCACATTAAATAGAATAGGAAAACATTTCCTTTATGACCCTCAGTAAATGGGAAATATAACTTTTGCCCATAGGTGAACTGATCACACCATTAACTATGGGTTGGCCTTTTTCCAGATCTTTGTCTGATGAAAGGGCCACCTTACTTGTCAGGTGCCAGTCCAGACACATGGGGTGTTCTTGAGGTTAATATTGGCAGTCACGGATGCCAGAAAGACAATCACAAAATTAAGGATTCTTTCTTCCTTTTATGCATCAGAAGAATTCACTTCAGCTAGTTCCACACATATTGGGTGCATTTACACGTTCACTTATGTGCCCTAGTTACTGTGCATTGTTGAGTTCTTGGTTAACCAAGTATTAATTCAATGCACAGTAACTCATGCTACTGTGCAGTAGTTTTTTTAATACTTACTGTGCAGTAGCCTAATAACACTGCACAGTAGCATATTAACATGGCTTTTGACCAGCGCGCTACTGCATAGCATTATTAGGCTACTGCACAGTAAGCATCTTGTGTAAACACACCCACTATTTACTTTAGCAAGCATGGCTAGTATGCTCCATATAATCAACTGGCAAAAAAGGAACGTTGCGAGGGTGTGAACTTATAAAGCACTCTTAGTCAAACAAGACACAAATGTGCTGTTTTAAGCTATTTATAATGAGAGACAATTAGAAAGAAAGGTAGTAAGACTACCAGCTGAGTTAACTGGTTCCAGGAGAATTCCAAATTGCTATCTCTAATGAACAGATAAAATAAATCCCCTTTCTATTCAATGGAACTCCAATTCAGGCAAAAGAGTTTCAAGTCCATTGCTATCATGTATATTTCCAGAAATAAGTGAGGGGGGAAGGATACTGTTTATAGAGCTGTTGCATTAGGAATCTGAAAAAGTCAGTGAAGATGCTAGGTCTGTCCTGTTTGGAGTTTTCCAGACATCTCCAAGCAGCTGCAATGAAGATATCCAATACAGAGATATTAGGTCTGAAGAACCCTGGTAGAGAGGAAATTAAGCTTCTTTGTACAGAATTTAATTTTTGATTGTTAGGATAGTGAAATATATTTAATACCCGATATAGGAAAAGTGGTCTTACTTCTCTGGCTCATGAAATGGGAACTATAGGTCTTAAAATCTAAAGTTGGTGGAAAAAGAATTTAAGAATCCAGCTTGTTCAGAAAATAAACTTCTGTTGGAAATCAGATGCTACTTTAGAGTGCAGAGAACACTTCTAAGGAAAACTTGGTTATATCATGTTTTATGTTGAAGAAAAACTACAATAAAGGAGCTGAAAAATGACCTTGTAGAAGAGAGTTCTAGGGGTTCCATTAATACAGGGTGTGTACATGTTCATTAATGTGCTCTAGTTACTGTGCATTAAGTTTAGTACTTGGTTAACCACATGCTAATTCAATGCTCAGTAGCTTCGGAGCACAGTTTTTTAGTGACGCTTACTGCATAATAGCTTAATAACACTACACAGTAGCGTATTAGCACGGTTTTTGACCGGCACACTACTGTGCAGTGTTGTTAAGCTACTGTGCAGTAAGCATCTCATGTAGAGATGACCAAAACAGATTAACCCAGGGTTTTGACAACCAGATTCAGTTTCCAGAAAAAAACACTCATTGCCAACGCAGTGGCCTAATGGTTGTAATTTAGCTGAACCTGTTGATCAAAGGTGGCAACTCAGATTATAACTATGTACATGTACTCCAGTGATTTACGAATCATCTGGAATACTTAAAAATATCATTTTCATCCTCCCAGGTAAAGAGTGATTTAGCCAATGGAGCCTATGGTTGAAAGAGCTGACAAATGAACTGTCTTCCAAAGTGGATGAGTGAAATTTCTACATTCAGACTTGACAGGCCTTACTTGAGAATTTCTTTTAAACTGCTAGACAGAAAGGTCAGTGATCTAAAAATATGGTGTTTTTTGGACCAGACAGATGGCAGAAATTTCCTCAGCTGCTGAGAGCCTCGTTTTGGGTCATTTAGGTCAATAAAAGTCATCGACAACAGCACTGTATTCAACATTATATGCAGCTTGCTAACTGTATCACTCACTGCCAACTCTAGCTGAATCATACGCACAAGATACAGTTCTAGTAATTTACTCAGTTATATTGACATTCCTGGGCTACTTGAATTTTAATATTTCCCCTTAGCTGACTTAGGTGTAGACACCTACCTGATAATGGTACTCAGTTCTGCAAGTTTGAAATACCGGTGAGAATAATGCTCCTGCTTCCTTTTCATCAGCTGAGGGAAAACAAAGAAGCAACCTCTCCTTCCTTGGAGGATGGATTGAGTAGTGCAAGGTCTTTTCTTCTGGGGCTCATCCATTTTAATTCCATTAAAAAAGATGTCTTTCTAGATCCTGAGCAAAAAAACTGGGAGGGGAAGGATTTTTCCAAGATAACTTGTTTGGAAAGAGAATGTAAGAACTATTTGGAAAAGGGGACACATCTGCACCTCTTAGTACGATGATTAAAGAAACCCACCATTTTGAAAAGTAATTTAGGAGGAAGGAAAGGGTCTTGCTATAGTTTGGGTTACTTACTTACCTTAGGCTCATATCATCACATAGCTAGCTGGTTCTGGTATGAGTGAAAGAGCCATATTCATATAAGCCACTACAATCATCTCCTTGTGTCTTGGGCACAATCCTCCTTGCAGTCCCCAAAGAATGAGCCTTCAGTTTTTCAGAAAAGAGAGAGCCAGACGAATGCTCTATGTCACTTGGGAGAACAGTCATGACTGTGCTGAACTTAAGCAAAACACAGACTCGAGAAAAGCCTGACATTCCTAGAAAGAGAAAATATCTTTTGCTAAAGAATACCTCAATTATTTTGGACTGAAAACTTACTGAATAGAAATAGCTGTCACCTTTTGTGGTATAGAAAAAGGAGAAAATAATTTGTTCCATTCTCTTTGTTCTTTCTGTCACTGATTTTTTAAAGTTCAGAAGAATTAAAACAACTTGGGCCTGTTTCTATCTGTTGTGTGTCACATTAATGAAAATTAGGAGCTGCT